ATCAAAAGAATCAAATTATCTTTTAAGCTTTGATAGCTACAAATCTTTGACAAATATCAAGATCGAAAAGTTGGTTTAGAGGCGGGCTACCTAAATCCTAAGGTTTGTTTCCTCAATTCGGTCATTGCTCGCCCCTCTTTCTTGGTTTGATATTTTAATTGGAGGCAAACAAAATGACACAACTAGCAAAATCAATGGCTAGACCTTTCAAAACACTTCTGTTTCAGTTCTCTGAAATGTTCCATTTGTTCAAGCTTCGTAGGCTTCTCTAACAAAGGTAGTGCAGAAATATCGGTCTAAAAATGAAATTCCTGAGTGCTCGTGTGAAGTTGACTATAACAGGTGTTCCATAACTCCCTTAGTCTATCTTTATCGAAACTCTTTTAGTTCATCTTTACCGAAACTCCTTATTTAATTTTATTATTCACCATTGTCTGGCTAGCTGAATCCATAAAGCCGAGGCGTTTAACCAATTGCTCTAGAGGGACAACTCAATATATAAACACCTTTATCAGGTTAGCTAAATCTTATCCATAAATACGGGGTGTTTAACCAATTGCTTTAGAGGGACAACTCAAGCTTTATTGTATAGTATAATCACCTTTGTTAGGCTAGCTGAATATTATCCATAAAGTCGAGGCGTTTAACCAATTGCTCTTAAGTTTTTCAAGGAGAACCTGTTATAGTCTAAGTGTTTTTGAAAGACAATGAATCTTATCTTTATAGTTCAATTTCCAAACAATTGACCTAAACTAGTTTTGCTTACTTGACCATTCCATCTGTGAAGATCATGATCATCATTGAATGTCATTAACATAAGTAGAAACCAATTAGCTTTGCAATTTCAGGTACTAGATGCCTCATTTTATCCGCTCCTAATACATGTCTGAATGTCAAACCCTTGATGGACTCTTCATGAGAAGAGAAAACTAGCTCGGTCCTCGTAAGAGAAGAGCATGTTGTCTGGTGTACCTTTTAAATTAGGATGAAAGGGTCTTTGTTTTGTAGGGTTCAATCTTGTCATTGTCAAAGATTTACAACCTCAATTATTAAAAAGCTTTTAATTAAGGTGATATTCAAGGAATTCAAGATTAAAATTTTCTCATTTCCTCAGAAGGAAGCATCTTATTTAAAATGCTTGAACGTCAAGTGACTTTTAAACATAAGAAACACAAAAGAAAAATAATTTCCAACAAGATGGCATGTATGAGAATACAACAAAACTCCTTATGGATGCCCCAATCAACTCCCGATTGGAATACCCTATTACACATTGAAAGCCAATGCCCCTGAATCGATCAGATCTTGTACCTTACGCTTCAACGCCCCATAGTTCACAGTGGTGTGCCCTGTGCTCCCAATATGATACCTGCATATGGCGTTAATATCATGACCTTTAGGATATGGGGCCTCTCTAGGTTTGGATTGAACTGAAGTCATAAGATTCTTCTCAACTAGAATTGGGAGCAACTCTTCATATGTCATTGGGATTGAATTGATGTCAGTCTTTTTATTGAAGACATTATGAGGTCTAATCCCCATATTAGTTAGGTGCGATCCCCTTAGGCTGATATCAACTCTTTCCTCAACAATCGCATTGACCCTGCCTTCTTGGTGGTTAGGAAAATGATTCTGAGCAATATATCCTCCTTCGATTTTTCCTTACTTTATGGCCATTTCTATCATTTCTCCGGCCATTACTATGTCAGTAAAATTTCCAGATGTGATTGCGATAGGTGCCCGAAATAAGGAGCCTTTAGCATCTGCACAAAAAGCTTCCTGGTTTCCTTCTCATCCAAGGGTGGATGAACTTACATAGCTAAATCCCTCCATTTCTGTGCGTATTGTCTAAAACTCTCAGCATGCTTCTTTTCCATGCTTTGTAGCATAACTCGATCGGGTCTCATGTCATTGATGTGTTTGTATTGTTCCAGAAATAACTTGGCTAAGTCCTTCCAAGTCTTGATATGGGATCGACTTAGCTGATTATACCAATGGATGTCTGAGACCGACACTCTCTCCCGGAAGCAATGGATTAGGAGTTGATCGTTTCCTCCATATCTTGTCATCTTTAGGTAGAACATGATAATGTGGGAGGATGGCCAGCTGTTTCCATCAAACTTCTCGAACTCCGGGGACTTGAATTTCGGAGGAAGAACCAAGTCTGGACTAGACTGAGTTCTGCTGCATCTACTCCATGGTAGTCATGATATCCTTTAACTACCTTCATTTGGTCTTCCAACATTTTGATCTTTTCCTCCATCTTCTTTGCCTTATCCTCCTCGTCAAAATTTGGGATATGATAGTCTTCCAGATGATTGTCAGTGTTGGTTGAGAAAGCTTGTATATTTGCACCAGATATGGCTTTTCCCTTGGTAGCAGATGAGTCCCCTTGCAGTCCAGGTAAGATCCCTGGTGAGATAACCATTTCTGGGGTTGGTGGTATAGTTACCCCAGCAGACGCACCTACCCCTGGTGCACTCGCCTGTTGTAAATTAGATAACTTGGCCACGATTTGATCGACCAAGGACTCTTGGCTTTTCGTGATGGAATCCAAGGTACTCTGACTATTCTGAGCCATCTTATCTTCCAGTTCTTTCTGTAGTTTTGCCATGTTTTCCTCGATTTCAGCAATTCTGGCCTCCATTTGTCTTTTCTTTTTCAAGCGGGTGTTATACGGATGAGGTGTGTCAATGCTTGAGGTGGTGTATCCAGTATGTGTTCCCTTTTGATAAGATATGCATCTGTTATTTAATGAGAATGTAAAGAAATGAAAATAACAAAATGCAAAATATGTTTAAATGCATAATGCATGCAATGTTCAAGGCATTGATCAAAAAAATGTGTCTGTTATTATAAATAATCCTTATTGGGGACAAAAGTGTTACATCTTTAAGAGACAAAAAACATTTTGATGGTATAGATCCCGAACAACCTCTGACAAGTTGATTTGTTTTCCATCTTTTTTCTATCACCGGTTGATTACCCTGTCGCACCGTTCCGGCTCCTTTGGCTAAATTGTGCAAGTGACGAGCTTCTTGCCCAAAAAAGTCTCGAAGGACTGCATCTCCAGCTTTCACTTTCTGTTGAGTCTGTTCCCTAACGAAAGTGCCATTGGAGTCCTCTATTAAATGGAAATATTTGAAATCCACTTGTTTGCTTCTTGGATTTGTCAAAAATGACATGTTGTCTTTGAAGGGACTCTTCAAGTCAATTTTCCCCGTCTTTTCCCTGCAACCTTTTCCAGCTCAAAAAGTCAACTTTTGGTGTGTACAGTGTAAATCCCGGTCCATCCTAAGTATTCTGACCATAGCTGGACTTCTGAGCTTTTTATCTCTTGTATTATAACCCCTTTGTCCATTAATGCAAATTATTTACGTTTAACGAACACATTTTTTGTGGATCAACACCTCTTTCAAATGATGTAAATGATGAAAAATGAAAAAGAACAAAAATGAAAGGAAAAAGTTAGTGAGTTAAGGATAATAAAAATGATGAAAATGAAAAGTCCAACCCCACATGATATCTACCCCACATGCTTATTATTCCTACTCGGACATGATATCTATTCCATATGTTAATTTTGAACCAGTCCTAACTGCATAAATTTCTAGTTCACATGCTTTGAACAGAAAAATAAAGTAGTATATAATCTTAAAGCAACCTAGGGTTTAGAATGAGGATTTGGGGTGGGCTCTAATTCCCTGTAGTCTCTCAGTTTAGGTTCTAAAGAAAGGTACCCGAGTTCTCCTTGCTGGTGCCCCCTTGGGCTTGCCAAACCCCTAGTCCTAAGCCCATTACAAGCTTATGTGGACTAAGTTAAACTCAAGGAAACATTCCCTTATGCCCGCACGAAGAATAAATTCTCACGAAGGCGTCGCTTTCACCCCCACTTAAATAGGGTTCAGAGCTCGGGTATAGAGCCTTAGATGAAAAAAGTTAAAGATCTGAAATCATTGAAAAAACGTCAATACAACTATTTACTTGAAAAAATAATCAAAGATAAATAATTAGTATCGAATAAATAAATTAAAATTAAAATTTGCAATTTTCGCTCAAAAAGACAAACAAAAATTAATTTCGGCCTGACTCACTTACCTGTCCCCAGCAGAGTCACCAAGCTGTCGCGATCGTCTTTCGGGTGGACCCGAAATTGGGCTTCGACTTGAAATAATGGGTTAGGAGTCGCCACCGATCACTTTAGAAAATATTTAGGTGGATTGGACACCATCTTACATGGTCTGCGTTTTACCAGAAATATGTCGGGTTCGAGAGTCGGTTACGGTCAAGGAAGGATTAGCACCCTTGAACCGCCCTTTCGGTACCAATTAATTTGTCGGTTGTCTTTAATTGCGAAAATTAAAATTTAAATCAAAATTTAAAAATTCGATTCGAATTACTTATCTTTGATTGGTTGGAATTATTCTAAAAAAAGTCAAAAATGTTAGAAAAAATAATAAAAAATAAATGTTAGATAAATCAAAGACAACTATAAAAAATTAAAATAAAATAATAAAATCAAAAGGAAATTTTTTTAAATCTAGGTGAAAGATAAAAAAAATTAAAAAAGGATGAAAGGTAAAGGTAAAAATAAAAGAAAACAATAAAAATAAAAATACAAACTAAAAAATAAAAAAATAACATATATATATATATATATATAACATAATATTTAAAAAAAAAAGAGAGAAAAAAAACGTATATACATATAAAACAAAAACGAAAAGAATGATAAAACAAATAAAAAAAGGAATGAAAATATAAATATATATATATAAAGTGTTAGATAAAAAAATAAGAAAATAAGCTAAATTGCATTAATTGAAAATTTAGGGAAACAATCAATATAAACAAAGTGATCAAATTAAAATAAAGAAAAGATGAATACAATAAATGAAAATACAAAACTCTTTGATGACCCTTGTAATGATTAACCCAATAATTCCCTAAAGGCATAAAATCCCTAGTTTTCACATGTGAAATTCATTATGAGAGTTACCTCCCTTCTTTCCTTTTTTTGCGACGATGTGCTCTTACTCTTCCTCTCTTCTTCTTGATTCCTTCGATCTGAGATTCCAAAAAAATTGGCGGTGTGGCCAGCGGTGAACAACAAACTTTGCTGTGGCCGATGACGACTTTAACGGCAGAGGACAATGATTTTATGGAGAAGGATAGTGGTTACCACCGAAATGGTAAATACTTTACCTTTCTTCGTATTCCTTTCTCGATCTTGATGTGTGCAAAATTATTTCGAGTTTCTTATAATTCTCACTGCTTTTCCCTTCTATTTCCCCGTGTTTTTGTCCCCGAATCCTCTGTATATATCCCCTTTTCCGTGTGTGTTTTACACTTATTTATAACTTGATGAACCCCTATTTTTGGGTGGATTTAGAGTCCTAATAGGATTCAAAAACCGATTTGGGGCTGTTGGTTATTTTTCTATTTTGAGTGGGTGTCGGGAATTCTGGGTTGTTAGAAGAGAGAGTGGGGAGATGTGGCGGAAAATTAGTGTCTACAGTTGGATTCTCAAGTTTGTGCCTTTTCGAGCTACCAAGATGAAGTGCTGGTGAGTGGTAACTTGTAAAACCTATGCTACATTTAATTTTTGCTTATTTCTTTCCCCCCCCCCAAATCTTTTCAAACATGGTAATTTGTAAGTGAAGCGAGAGAAACTGTTTCAACTGTTTAAAGTATTATAACAGGGTTGAAAATCAATGCAGATTTATTAAGATAGTTTAAAACCAAGAGTTTTTATTTTCTTTTTCTTTTTTTGCATGTATTACTGTACACATGCTATCATGTTTTCTCTATTTTGGCCCTGTGTTCTCAATTTATGTTTATGACAATGTCAAATTCTTGTGTATTTCTGGGCAGCGAAAGTGGTTATTCTTTTACTTTTAATCGATATATATATATATAGATATATATATATTGTAAGTTTAATAATTCTCTATAGCTATCCTTTTGATAAAGTCAAGTGCATGTTTCACATATATATTCAGATTGTTTCTCTATCAATATATCCATATTTGATTTGATATTTCATTCAATAAGTACGCATATACATTTGAGATTATTTCTCTATCAATATGTACACATATTTAGATACTTGTGGAGAGAAAAAATCAGGGCAGAACCTCTTTTTTGAAGTGTCCAAATAGACTCACATTGCATGTATAGCTAGGAGTTTTGAGTGATTTATCTAAATACTAATTAGTTTTTTTCTGTAGATAAACGCATTTATGTTGTATGCATTAATTATTTGTTCTTTGTTTCTATTTTGTGGTAAATGTACAATATAGAAGCATCTGTTGAGGGTAGTGTTTCAACCTCCTTGACAGATTGTGAAAATTCAAATAATACTGCTAGAGTTACAAGTCAAATCAACAAAATAAAAGGGACTGCTGCTAAACGAAAATCCATCACTCTCATTTTATTAAATTTGTTAGCAATAAGGGTCAAAGTAATGGTAAATGCAATTATTGTGAAAAAGAATTCTATTGTAATGGAAAGAAAAATGAAACTAGTTTATTGAAGTATCACATGAAGCAATTTAAGAAAAAACCCTACTAATATTGTTGACAATAATCAAGGTCAATTAGTTTTACCTGATAAGGGTCTTGAAGAGGAAGTGAGACGTACGACTTGAAAATTTGATCAAGAAGCAATTAGGAATGCTTTAGCCCAAATAATTGTGATTGGTGAATTGCCTTCCAAGTTCGTTGAAAGTGAAGGTTTTAGAAAATTTACGTTTGTGGCATGTCCTGGGTTTCAAATTACTTCTAGACTTACTATAATTAGGGATGTTTATTAGTTATAATTGGATGAAAGGATTAAGCTAAAATAATATTTAAAAAGCTCTTGTTCTAGAGTTTGTTTGATTACTGATACATGGACTTCTTTGCAAATAATCAATTATATGTGTCTTACTGTCCACTTCACTGAAAATGATTGGAAATTGAATAAAAAATTATAAATATTTATTCAATTTCTAGTCATAAGGGGGAGGCTATTAGAATGATGATTGAGAATTGTTTGTTGAGTTGAGGAATTGATAAATTACTCACTGTGACTATTGATAATGCAAGTTCCAATGAGATTTCTATTAGTTATTTAAGAAAAAAAATTTAGTCCTCGAAGGGGTTGTAGTGCAAATGGTAAATATCTTCATCTAAGATGCATGACACATATTGTTAATTTAATATTTGTTGAAGGTTTAAAAGAGATGAATAAATCTATTGCAAATGTTAGGGGGTTATGAGATATGTGAGATAATCTCCAACTAGATTGAAAATATTTACGGACTGTGTTGAGGTGGTAAAGATAGACAACAACAAAATGTTGTGGCTTGATGTTTGTACTAGGTAGAACTCAACATACTTAATGTTAGACATTGCTCAGAATTTTGAAAGTGCTTTTGATAGATTTGAAGAATAAGATACAAAGTTTAGGGCTGAACTTAGGTTATGAGAAGGTTGGCCAACTATAGAAGATTGGAATAATTTTAGAAACTTGAGATATTTTTTGGAACACTTTTTTGAAGTTATTTTGCGAGTTTCAAGAACCTCTTATATTACATCCACTAATTTTTTTTATGAGCTTACTGAAATTGATATCCTATTACAAGATGTTCAATCAAGTTTGATATTGATTTTAGTGTTATGGCCATGAGGATGAAAGATAAATATGATAAATATTGGGGTGAGATTAATAAGATGAATATGCATATATCTATTGTTTGTGTTCTAGATCCTAGGCAAATATTGAATTATCTGGAATTTTCATTAAATGAAATATATAGTTCTGAAAAAAATTCTAAAGTGATGAAATAATAGAAGAATACTTTGTTTGAACTGTATGATGAGTACAAACCTCTAGTTTCTAATAGTTGTGGCCAATCAAATGCAAGAAAATCTGATTCTTTAAGTGATCCACAACAAAAAAGTGAAAAGGCGTATGAAAAATATGTATAAAAGACTTGTCATTCAAAATGGTGGTGAAGAGCAAACATCTGAATTGGATAAACATCTATGAGAGGCTTCTGAAAATGATGATGTATTTGATATTTTATTGTGGTGGAAAGTCAATAGTCCTCAATTTCCAGCTCTGTCAAAAATGACTAAAGATGTGTTAACTATACCACTTTCTACTGTAGCTTTAGAATCTGCATTTAGTATCAGGAGACGTGTACTTGATCAATTTAGGAGTTATTTAACTCCTAAAATGGTACAAGCCCTTTTGTGTACCCAAGATTATATTTGAAATCCATCATCATAAGAGGATTAAGAAGATTGAAGAATAAACAAACCCAATAGCTTAACAAGATTGATAATGGTATGTTGATATCTTTATTTATTAATTTTAATTTAATCATTTGACTTTTTAGGTTCATCTTGGAATGCATTAGATCCTACACTCGATTCATAAGCTCATAAGCTTATGTACTGTGAGATTATGAGTGTGAGTTGAAGGAAGTGTATGCATTCTAGTCTTTTAGTGTGTGTTATATATGATTGAATCTTTTAGTGTTTATTCTTTTTTTTTCTACTGGTATGGTATATATTTGTATTAGTGTTTGTTGTAGCTTAGTTTATGAGTGCTCATGTTGAATGTTGATTTGAATTATGATGATTGTTACTTACTATTTACTAACGTCTAAAGGCTGGAATGTATGAATTTTCTTTACTCTTTGGATTTTGTTTATGCTTGGAGGTTGCGTTGTTGAATTTTTTATATATACTTTTTAATGAAATGGCTACTCTTATTTTAAAAATATAAAAATTATAATAAATTTTTGTTAACCAATCGTATTAACCGAATTTTGTTCGGTTTAGTTAAATGTTTTCAAAAAAAAAACATTTCGGTTAATGGTTAAAGGGGAAAGATTTGATTAATAAAATTTAGGTAGTTCGGTTCGTTTGGTTAACCAAACTGACCGATTGAACATCCATGCTAAAAGATGAAGCAACGTGAGACAAATACACTTGATTTTATTAATTTTATTATTAAAATTAAAAATCATTACTATTTTGGAAAAATAAGTTTTATTTTTAGATATTTTAGATTTTTTATGTATTGATGTAGGAATTTTGCATTTTCTACTAATTTTTGAATTTTTATGTTTTTAAGGAATTTTTAAAATCTTTTATTACATGTGATAGTTTTAAATTCGGTCACACCATTTTTTTTAAATGGAAAACGACATTAAGACAGGCTCGTCCATTTACAAGTGTAGCATGTGATATGTCACATGCTCCCAAAATTTGAGCGGCCCCACAATTGAAAAAAATCTACTAATAAAAAATATTTATTTTCTCAAAAAAAATTTGATATCCTCTTTTATTTAATTCTCATGATAAAATTTAATAAAAAAACTATTAATTTCCTCCTTTATTATCTCAATAATTGAATGTAATCATTCTTCCTAAAAAATCCCATCAAATTTATTATGTCTAATGGGAAATAATCTTATTTATATCTATCCTGTTTTCAATCTTTTTCATCATCTAAAAACCAAAAAGGAAATTTCCTACTACTTTTAATTAGTGTTTTGAATGTTGAATTTTTAATAAGGGAGTCTGAAGATTTTGGCAATATGATGGTTGTTTCTTCTCCAATTTGGTAGTCCTATTAAAGATCTGCAATTTGATTGTTCCATAGTTTTACTCTTCTAAATTTCTAGGTTATTTCTATCCTTTTGATTTTTAGTTTATCACGTGATCTCTTTTCTTTTTTTTCCATTTTTTTAAAAATTTAATCATGAATCCTACAATTAGGAAACATGATTATGAATGTGAAAAAAGTAAGGAAAAAAAAGAGATGAGAAGAGTTAACTCAATCTCAAATAGGAGCTCTTGATAAGTTCTTTGTTAAGGAATCACACACTTCCGTTGAAATTAATAATGTCGTTGATGTTGATGTTGGAAAAATAACTTACTGCAAAAGGAAAGATTAGCACTCACTGGAAAAATAAATAAGATAAATAAATAAAGATCAAGTAATTTTACTTTGTCATGTAGTCAATGCCTTAGAAGCAATTTCGCATGGAATGGTATAATCCCTAAAATGGACATTGCCCTCCAAGGTTAACACAATCTTCCAAATTCCGTACAACAGAAATAAGAAAGTGGAACTTTGAATAGTTTTTCTCTTTTTGTAGGAAAGAAAAATATTTTATTCGAAGTAAATATTACCGGAATAAAAAATTTCAAAGGCCACTGAAAAGGAAAAATTTCACTATGCTTGTGAAGAGAGAAATAGATAAGAAGAGAGGAGAACGAAGAAATGAGTGAGTTGAGAATAAATCATAGGGCCTTCTTTTATAGCTAAAAATTAAGGGTATTTAAGTAAAAGTGTAAAGTGAAAAATCAGCAAAAAAAATCTTTAACCATTGAATTTGAATCAATTTAAAATTTAAAATTTAAAATTCAAATAAAAATAATTTCTTGGCATTATATATATATATATATATATATATATATATATATATATATATATACCAACAATCCCCCACTAATGCAAAGAAAAAAAGATCCACAAAAGAGTTAAAAGAAAAGAGTAACGGAAAAATTAGTCGCTAAAGCACTAGTATCTATTAGATTTGAATTAGTACATAGTGAAATGAGTAATTCTTCTCTTTAACAAGTGAACGAATCTTGAACTTGTTAATATTTGGGTTAACTCATAACGCACGACTAATTTTAGAGCTATTTGAGTTACGTGATAGTTCAAAATTTTGACAAA